GACCTCCCCATCCCGAGCCTCACAGGGACCCCCACCAGGACCCCCGGTCCTTACCCATCCCTCCCTCCTTCATCCATCTGCCCCCCTGCCCTGGCACCCCCCCCCAGCCTTACCCCCCCACCCAGGACACCCTCTTCCCCTCCCCCCCAGGCCTTCCCCGTCCCAAATCCTGCCAGGATTCTCCCTGGGACTCCCCTCCCCAAAGCTCCCAATCCTCCCCCCTGGGTTCTTTCTCCTTTCTGAGTCTGGCCTCTCATCCAACCCCCTCTCCAGGCCAGGGTGAATCCAGGCTTCCTGATCTCCTCCCTGCCCCCTCCTCCCCCCAAACGCACGTCCCTTTTCCCCACCGCTCCAGGCCAGGATGAGTCTGGTTCCCTCCTCCAGGCCCCCCACATCCGATCCCTTTTATTCTCCCCCTCCCCCCCGCATTTGGTCCCTGCCAGCCTCACCCCCTGACGCTGTCTCTCTGGGGCAGGATTCCTGCCGGGGCAGACAGCGAGGCACCACCGGGGCTGTGTGCTGGCCGTGCTGCGGGAGGCTCTGCAGGAGGCAGGGCTGGAGCCCGCAGATGTGGACTGCGTGGCCTACACCAAGGGTGAGTGGGGGTGTGGCCTACACCCAGGGTGAGGGGCCAGGCCCTATGCCCAGGGTGAGTGAGGGTGGGGCCGGGGGCCAGGCCCTATGCCTAGGGTGAGTGGGGGGCGCAGGTGGGCCCTATGCCCAGGGTGAGTGGGGGTGGGCCGGGGGCCAGGCCCTATGCCCAGGGTGAGTGGGGGTGGGGCCAGGGGCCAGGCCCTATGCCCAGGGTGAGTGGGGGTGTGGGTGGGTGGCCCCCCAAGGGCCCCGTGCTGACTCCGCACTCTTCCTGCAGGCCCCGGCATGGGCGCCCCACTGGTGACAGTGGCCGTGGTGGCCCGGACGTTGGCCCAGCTCTGGAACAAGCCCCTGCTGGGTGTCAATCACTGCGTGGGCCACATTGAGATGGGCCGGCTGATAACGGGCGCCCAGAACCCCACCGTGCTGTATGTCAGCGGGGGCAACACCCAGGTAGGGCTGACGCTTCCCCCTCACCTCCCCCGCCCCCGCGCCGCACTAGGCCCCCACCCAGGAGATCTCGGCAGCCCTGTACATCGCCCCGCTCTGCTCCTCTTGCCCAGGTCATCGCGTACTCGGAGCGCCGGTATCGCATCTTTGGGGAGACCATCGACATCGCTGTGGGCAACTGCCTGGACCGCTTCGCCCGTGTGCTGAAGGTGAGAGGGCACTGGGGAGCCAGAGGGTTGGGAGTCAGGACTCCTGGGTTCTATCCCTGGCTCTGGGAGGGAAGTGGGGTCTAGTGGTTAGAACCGGGGGGGACCGGGAGTCAGGACTCCTGGGTTCTATTACCATTAAGTGAGTCACCCAGAGTTTTTCCATTTCCTGATTGTGGCACTTCAACATTAACAAGTTTTTTGGTATTTAATTTCCTTGCTTTTTAAAAAACAGGGCGCCAGGTTCCAATCCCTCTGGTTACTTCACTAGCAACATTTAGCGACAGCAACATTGGAGAAATGTCGCTTCAAGATTTTAAGTCACATGACTCCAAGTTCTGGTGTGTTTGGGTGAAGTTGTTCATTTTAAACGCAAGGGAATTCCAGATTAATGTTGGTTTTGTGCACATGCTCGGTGCAATTTTAAACTTAACCTAAGTTTTTTGGAGTGGAATTTCTTTGCTTTTTTCCTAAAGGCAAACAAGAATTTTCTTAGTTTGGTTGCTTTTTAAACAAACTCGCAATTTTATTCTCTTTATAATCCAGGAATACTGTACAAAATCAGACGATGTTTAGCATATAACTTGCTTTATATAAGACTTGAAATCAATCTCTTTCACAAACATTCTGTATGCTTCCATTTTTTAAAAACCTCACACCCAATTCCCTGGATTTCTTGTAAAATCCTTTTCTTCCCTGTGGCAGGAGTAACTGAAGATGAGGTTTTCTGGCATGGAATTTCCTTGCATTTTAAAGGAAACAGTAACTTTTGTTCTCCTTCTCCCTGAAATTGGGGAAATTAAATGCCGAAATCTAAGGTTAATGGTAACTTTACAGTCAAACATTTCCAACTAAAGCCAGCATAAAATTAGATACTTTTGTCAAATAATCTGCACTCACTAGGTTGGAGACTTTGCATTAATTTTAACATTAATCTAAGATTTTTGGCATTCAGTTTTCTGCTTTTAAAAGCCAGGAGCAGGCTGTGGGGATCTTCAGCACTAACCGAGGTTCTTGGCCTGGAAATTACTTGTTTCTTTGCAAGTGACGTGGAAAATGATTGTGAGATTTAGCAGTAAATCAACACGGAGCTTTGGCAAACGGGCCCCAGGCTTCGTTCCCCTCTCTGTAGCTCAAAACTGGGGAGGACCGATTTCACCTGAGTCCCACCAGAACACCCCCTGCCCTGAGCCTCGCTGCAGGAAAGGTTTTGGCCTGAAAGGAGCTGGTGTCTTCAAGTCGTTCTCTCCCCCCCCCCCCCCAAATGGACCAAAGCAAAGTGGGGGGGGCTCGTAGGTTGGGATGGGGCCTTCTGGTACCCCCGCATCCAGCCTTACCCTCCCTTGGTGTCTCTTCCTCCTAGATATCCAATGACCCCAGCCCTGGCTATAACATCGAACAGATGGCGAAGAAGTGAGTGGTACCAGCTCCGGGAGGGGAGTGGGGTCCAGGGGGTTGGAGCAGGGCTGGGAGTCAGGACTCTGGGGTTAGATCCCTGGCTCTGGGAGGGTCTAACACAGTCTTCTCCCCCCAGGGGACAGAAGCTGGTGGAACTGCCCTACACAGTGAAGGGAATGGATGTGTCCTTCTCAGGGATCCTGTCCCACATAGAGGTGAGGAACCCAGGGGTCCTGGCTCCCAGCCCCTGCTCTACCCACTAGCCCCCACTCTCCTCTCTGAGCTGGGAGGGAACCCAGGAGCCCTGAACCCCCTCTCTGCCCTGTAGGAGGTGGCTCACAAGATGCTGGCATCAGGAGAGTGCACCCCGGAGGATCTCTGCTTCTCTCTCCAGGTGAGGAACAGCCCAGCTCAGGGCTGGGAGAGCAGGGGCTGCAGGTCAAGAGTTAGGAGCACCGTCTCTGGACATCAGGAGGTGGGGAGTGCGGGCTGGGAGTGAGACGCACCATGGGAGCTGGTGAAGGGGGCTGCGAGTCTGGCATGAGGAGCACTGTGGGAGCTGTAGGGAGGGAGTGAGCAGTGCCGAGCGGGGGCTGCGGGTTGGGAGTGAGGAGCACTGTGGGAGCTGCGGGTCGGGAGTGAGGAGCGCTGAGGAGGGGGTGGGCTGTGGGTTGGGAGCGAGTGACACTGTCCTAGCTGTGCTGCGCCCCCAGGAAACGCTCTTCGCGATGCTGGTGGAGATCACGGAGCGGGCCATGGCGCACTGCGGCTCACAGGAGGCCCTCGTCGTGGGCGGAGTCGGCTGTATGTGCCGGGACCATGGCGCGAGGGGGAGGGTCACTGCATGGGAACCCTGCCTCCCCACCTGGTCCCCATACTTAGCCCCGCACCTGCTTCTCCACTCGCCCCCTGCCTCCCCCCCGGGATCGCTGCCCTATGGCAGGAGCTCGCTGGCTCTCCCCCACAGTCCTGGCAGGCGCAGCCTGGGGCTGGTGCCTGGGCTCAACTGAGGCCATCGCAGCTCGTGTCACTTGTGTCCTGAGACTAGGGTCTCAGCTTGAAACCTGCCCCCTCCCCAGGTGTCACCACCCCACACCAGCTTGTGCCCCCCAGGCTCTAACCCTGCCCCTCCCCCAGGTAACATGCGGCTGCAGGAGATGATGCGGATCATGTGTGCAGAGAGGGGAGCCAAGCTGTTTGCTACAGATGAGAGGTACCGACTGCCCGTCAGCTTGCCCTGTGGAGCTAGGGTCCCAGCAACCCCTTACCCCGCCCTAGCTTGGTGGGAGAAGTGGGATTCTCCCCCCAGACAGTAGCTCTTGGATTCCCGTGGGAGATTCTGGGCTATGGTGCTTTAGGGCATTGGCACCCCTACCCCGGAGCCAGGAGAGAACCCAGGAGTCCTGGCTCCCAACCCCCCATCTCTCCTTTCTAACCATTAGACCCCACTCCCCTTCCAGAGTTGGGGATAGAACCCAGGAGTCCTGGCTCCCAGCCCCCTCCCGCTCTAAGCACTAGACCCCACGCCCCACTGCCTGCAGGAGGTCTCATCT